ATGTTTGTGGTTTGTTTGGTCAAGGTTGAAAGTGTAGAAACCGTTAAATCAATTATATCAATAATATTAAGGTTGAATTAAGTAATTGATGTTGACTTAAATTCTTTCAAAAATAATATAAACATTAATATTATTAAAGGCAATTAAAATGATCATTCTGTAACGTTATTTCAATGAATAAAACCAATAGAAATCAATAGATATAACTAAGCATCCTTTCTAGAATATTTTATTTTTGCGCTCTCACTCGCACACACTCTCCATCTCTCTCCAAACTTCCTTTTGCCGCGCTCGGTAGAATTCGTCTGGTCTTGGTCATGTTCGGGGAAATGTTCGGAGTAAAATTTTGCTGATATTTATCTCCCTTCTCCCTTCTCCCTGCTCGGTTCGGGGTCTTGATCGGGGAAAAGATCGATAGTGTGTCACCGCCTTTACTCACGGATGTGAGCCTACAGAATTATTAATACCCCCGCCGCAGCAAACCTGCAGACTAAGCGAATTTCCATTTGACTGATTGGATTTACACTGAAATGTCTACTTAAAAATATAACATTTATTCCCAATTTAAATAGAATTAGTTTAACAAGTACTTAGGTTTGCTGCATCAGGGAGGGTAAAATTGTTTTTTTTTTGAAAATGTTAATAGTTAGTAAGAAATAAAAAAATTTTCCAAATTTGATCAAAATATGTTCATAAACAAGCAAACTACAACAGTTTACTTATTCTCCATAAGAATAACATGGGAATTTTAAATTTACAATTTTTTTGAATTTTCTCCGTAACCGTTAGGCGCATAATAACGCTTCAATATACTAAATTATTTGTTTTTTTAAGCTCTACAAAATGGTTTGGAAATAAATTGCAAAATTTTAAGTTTTTTGGGTCAAAAATGGGAAAAACCTATTTTTACCCCATAAAACCCCTTGTAAACACCCGTTCCCATGGTCCGATCATGCTGGATCGCGAACTCGTTCGAATAAACGTAGGTTTACACGTTTGTACCAAATTTCATCAAAATCGGATCATTTTTGCTTGAGTTATCGTGCTGACGGACACATATATATATATATATATGAATTTGAACGGATGGTGTTTTTGGCCTCTAGGGACCTCAAAACGAAAAAAAAATCGGTCCCGCGTCCAGGTCTTACCATGAGTACTACGGTAATAGCTTATTCCCTATATGGGAAATTCGCTAAAAACCACTACAGTTTTATTCTACCATTCGCTTCTAAAAATTAGCAGGTATACTGATGAAAATTTATGGGAAAACAGTTTCTAAATTTTGAACCATAGCTTAATTATTTAAATAAGTAAAAAAAAAACGTTGCAAGGGCAACGGGTTACATCGAAATGATAACACAAATTAAATATATTTTGTTATAATCTTAGTTACGTTACGAATAAGGAAAGTGGGCCCTATTATTGGCGATTTTGGGGTGGGTTGCCTACTTCCCGTTTCTAGAAGGACGGGCGTGCATTGTTCCCTCTGTGACCTCAATACACAGTCCATTCTTAGAATTACGTTAGAAGCCTTGGCAGGAAATGTCTAGGGGTTTCTCCCAGATTCTGTGAATCCGAGAAATTAATCGTGCTCTGCTAACCACGAAACCCTCCCAAGTTTGAAAAAGTCTTTGTAACAATAATAGTGGATATTCAATTTTCTTGTACGGTATATAAGGAATAATTAAGAGAGTTATTGAAAAAAGCAGCGCTAATTTCCCCTTCACTTTTCAGTGGCGAAACTAAAAAAAATACGTCCCATTACTTATTATATAAATTAACTACAGTTAATTTAATTGGAGTGTATATATAATACTATTGTCTTACTATTTGTTCAATACATTTGAAAGTAAAATAGTAAAGATCCAAATACAAAACATGATTCAGAATTTGTTTATTTAATTGTTTTACAATGTTTTCACTTCTAAACTAAAACAATCATTTAACGATGAGTATATCCAAAGTTGTTCCTATCCTGCGCCTAATAAAGTCGAGCGTCAGTAATGATGGTTAGTCTCTCCACAAAAGGCAGCCGTTAAATAAAAGGAGAATTCCCGTCGGCATCCATGCGTTTCGTGGGTTTTTCGTTCGTTATTGAAAATATGCATTGGAAGTTTGGTGAAAACACGTTTTTTGTTTCCCGTGAAAGTCTTCTGAAGTTTATTTGCCACAGGTTTGCGGAAACGATGCCTGTTGCCGCATAGCGCTACACGAACAGATGCGGAGCCGTCGTGAACTACTTGAAGCGTTTCACTTTTATCCCGCAACTGGTCGTAGCGCTAGGCGGCAACAGGCAACGTTCCCGCAAACTTACAGCAAATAAGCTTCAGAAGACTTTCACGGGAAGCAAAAACAAGTTTTCGCCAAACTTCCAATGCATACTTTCAATAACGAACGAAAAACACACCAAACGCATGTTTACAGAAAGCGTGCATGCTATCTGGTAAGTATTAATAAAACTATTGTTTGGTAAAGTTAAGCTGAAATAAACAATACCCCCGCCGCAGCAAATCTGCAGACTAAGCGAATTTCCATTTGCCTGATTGGATTTACACAAAAATAGTTCATTAAAAATATCACATTTTTATTCCCTACTAGCTGTGTGCCCGTTCTACGTACGGGAATCTTGTCGTAAGTTGAAACCTTATATTCAGAACAGGAGTTGGTTTGCATATTTAGTGTGTATTTTTCCAGATGTACTGGCAAAACTATTACTGTATAGGAATACATATAAACCTTCGCAAATAAAATATCTGACAGTTTCAAGCCAAAACGAATGCTTCACAATTAAATGTCACCCAATCTTGTTAGTCCCTAAGGTAGGCCTGTAATTGAGAGTTAATTTTCACACTGGTTAAAAGTAGTTAAAATATTGCCTCAACCTCACTACTGCACTTTATTCGGGTTGAAATTTTCATTAATAAAGTTTCTCTTGTCTTTTCCACGAAACACTGAGAAATGAGGACATTAATGTGTTACCAACAGACAAAAACACACAAATACATAATTGAATTAGGGGATATATGTTTATGCTTTAACCAAAGCAAATTACAAACAAAATAATTATTTCAAAGTTTTGATAGTGTCATAAAATGTTTTATGATAATCGTATTTAGTCCTAATCAAACTGCAGCATTGGTGTAAATCCGTTGGCAAATAAGTAAATAAATATACATAGTCCACAAAAAATTGATACGTTAACAATGTAAAGCTTTAAAAATTCATCATGGTTTGCTAAAAAATATCGTTCACTAATTTATCATTTTCATAGCATATACTAACATTTTGGAGTCCAGACAGAAAACGCAAAAATTATACAGTAAGACATCAATTAAATTTAATAAGAAATAAGTTGCAGCACTAAGGATAACTAAGCTGTAAATAGTGATGTGTTTGTACGTAAAAATGATTCTTTCTGCTACCACCGGTTCAAAGGAAAAGTACCAGTACCAAAATCCAACGTTTACTGTTAAGAAAAGAACTATAGTACTTACGACCAATTCAAACTGTCCTTGTAATCAAACTGTATTATAGGTGTTAATCCGTTGGAAAATATATAAATATAAATAAATACACAGGCCACAAAACATTGATACGTTAACAACGTAAATCTTTAAAAATTCATGATGGTTTGCTCTTGGTTTGCTCAAAAAATCTTTCACTTGATGTGGTATCAGTACCGAAGTTATTAACCACCCTTGGTTTTGGATTTTTTTTAAGTTTTTGAAAATAAAAGTTATTTTCCATTAATAGCATTATTTGTAAGCAGCTTTTAATGTTAAAATTCAAATGACATTTAGAAGAAACCACCTTTATCCAAACAAAGGTTTCTTATTTAAATATTACGCAATATCCAAACGATGATCGGCATATCTAACAAATATTTGGAGGAAATGTGACAAAAAAACACAAATCTGGGGTTTTGGACGTTTGAAGTTTAACTTCCTAAGTAGGAACGCTATGTGTTCTGGGGAAAAGTACCGATATCGTTGTCGAAATGTGGTTGTAAATAATTAGGCCTACGTAGGGCCTACCCAGGAGATGGGCTATGGGCCATGATTAGCGGTATAGTACAGCGATTGCAGCACAAAGAGGTATGTAGAAACCAAAAGTGACACATTGGAAAAGCGAGTTTAGGTCATCGAAGTATGTTTAGCTACATATGTAAGTTAAACCTCTGTCACAGCGAAATCAGAAAGATCTTCCAAGATCGCAGCATCATCCACGATCACCCACTGTCCTTGAAGCGCCGTCAATGAGTGGAAACCTTTTTTGTAAGCTATTGGTGACGATGATTAAAAAAATTTAAGTTTCCCAGCACTATGAAACAATGATTCACGGTCTTTTCCCCGGTTATCAAAACACTCAAGAACAATCGTTGCACTTGCGATGAATTAAACTGGGTTTTTAATCTCACTTTTGGATGTGCTGGGGATGTTCTTCATCGGAAACGGTTCTGGTATTTATAAACAGTATTTTGTAAACATATCAGTGACAGCTAGAAGTGCGAGAACTAATCCAAACAGCTGATCGTTTTATTTCATAAAAATGTAATAGTAAACATTGGGAGAAAATTTGACAAAAATCGAACAAAACTGGGTTTTTTATGGTTCGTTATTTTGTTATCAAAGAAGCAATGCCATGTTTTTATGGCCAAAGACACTCTCACCAATCCAGTAAATACAGAAAAATGATTTGAATCTTCATCGGTACTCTAGTTTTCTACAAGTGCGCAAAATGACATTTTGGCGTCACAGACAGAATGACAGAGTGGACAAATAGACAGACAGACAGAAATTGAGATAAGACTCGTTTCGGCTTTCTTAGGCTATGAAACGTAAAAACAACCAAAAACTGCATGATTCTAGTACAGACAAAACTGTAAATTTTATTTATATAGATTTACATAGCATTAGTTTAACGAGTACTTAGGTTAGCTAAGCGACAGGGAGCCAAGACACAAGATTAATATTAATTATTATATGAATATTTTTCAGGTATCTGATGCTAAGAATCAAGTCAACCAGAATCTAGGGGGTATGTATTATAGTAGCTTAATAATTTAAGGCAATGAATTAAGGTTTTGTAATTGAGCGGAGCGAAGCGAAGCTCTTATACTACTCCTGCTTTTGTTTTACAAATACTCCTCCTGATCGGCTAAAGTGATCTGCACCAAATTTAGCACAATCATATAGTAACCAACCATGGGAAGGTATAAATCTAAAATGGTACAAAACGTGTACCACAGGGCTTTTCCTTATATGAATTTAATAACATAAAAAATACCATTGTTTTATATCTAACATGTTGGACGATATATTTTTCAAGACTGTACAAATTTCCTCTACCAAAAAATAAATCTAACTACAGATTTTTTACTACAGATCTAACGATTCATATAAACATGTACCATGGATCTTTAAAATGACAGTCCCCATCAATAACAAAAATCTTTACATTTTTATAAAATTGGGGAAGGTTATAGTTTTGGTACCGGTAATCGTTACACTACACAATGGATTTAAGGAAAGATGTAAGTCATGTACATGATCATAATGTAGAGGAAATTTCAGATCACCCCCCCTTGTCAACACCCTTATTGAATATTCATCCACATCCACCACTTCTAAACAATTTGCTTATCAGAAAAATCTTATGTAGATCAAAAACGATTGAGTAAAAAAAGGATTAATAATACTTTATAATAACTATTATATTTTAATAGCCAAAAGTGCTAGAAATATGACTTAGGCCTACAGAGACATTAAAATGTATTCAAAGGGTGTGCTTGTATTCTTTTTTTCTTTCTAAGGCCCCCTTAGGCCCGCCGCACATTGGAGCGAGGCGAGGTGCAGGCTAGGTGCAGGCGAGGTGCAGGCGAGGCGCGGCTATTCTGTAATACACGTGTTTAAATGGAGCACCGCACATTGAGCAGAGGCTGCGCGCAGCCTCCGCGCAGCACAGCTGCAGCCTCTGTCAGGCCTCCGTGGCGTTGTGGTTGGAATACAGTTTTCCTGCACCTCGCTCGCGCCTGCGTTGGGTTTCTAGTGTTTTGTAAGTGAAATATATATAAATGGAGCATTTATTCAGATGGTTATAAGTTATTGAGCTTTGCATTCCTTTCCACTAATGCCACTTTTAATCAATTTATGGATATCATCAAACTGTTGTTTGTTCACTCAACAATATTTTCTAAAAGACTACTCTTATCTGGCAGTTCAGTAGTTAAAACATACTCTCCATTGCTTAATCTTTTTTTCGTGTATTCAACATTTTTTTACGTTTTTCGGATAGCGAATAGAGTCAAACTAAATTATTAAACTCACAATCAGAATGAGTAGGTCCAAAGAATCTTCATCTACTCCTGATAGTTGGACCAAAGCTAGGAAACCTCTGTCCCGCCTCGCTTCAATGTGCGGTGACATGAAAAAGTCCTCGCTCCCGCCTGCACCTAGCCTGCACCTCGCCTCGCTCCAATGTGCGGCGGGCCTTAGTGTATGTATACTCATAATATACAGTATTTTAAGCTGCGCCCAAGTCAGTTCGCAGTGTCTCAAAATGAACTGCAACATTTTTTTTTTAGTTTAATGAACTGATCAAAAAGTACCTTATGTTTTTCAGGACTGTGGTAGTACAACTTAATGCATCTACATAAATCTCAATTTCAGATGTGCATTCAACAAAAAGTAAGGACGCCTGGAAACCAGTTGTCGGTCCGACTCGAGCAGAGATTGAAAAAATGGTCAGGGAAGATGGTGCTTTCAAATCAATTGTCAAAGAGACCTGGGAATTGGTGGCTGCAACATTAATGGAACCAATACACATTCTCTGCAGTATAATTGGAACTATGATAACAATTCTGAAATTGGCAATCGAGAGTTTACGACAAACAGGAGTGTCTTTGATGCAGATGAGCAAGACTGTATGAGAAATGCATCAATAGGTGAAGAGTCTGTTACCATAACTATCAAACATAATAAAGCTCTGTAGTCTTCATTGTTATTTATGTCTTAATTTAATTTCCTACAAGGTCAGGCAATAAAATATCGTAATGAATTGATCGTTTATTGCCTTATACAGACAAATTTAGGGCTACGCATGTCATTTTCTAATTTTTAACCTGCTATACAAAATGTAACATACCTATTTTAAAATAGAATATAAATAAATATAAGATCTGTTTTGACAATGCATAACCAATACCATGAACACAAAGTACAGAGTTTTTTAAGCCGTCAGAAACCATAACTGATCAAGATGATTAGTTGGGAACGGGTGATCAATTCAAAAACCACAATCAGTATAACATCAAACACAACACTCTGTTGTTAACTGTAGTTTTGTAATAAAAATACATTTAGGCATTGACTATTTTATATTATATTAAGTAGTCTACATTATACATGGTCAATGATGTAGGTCTGTAATGTGAATATAAACTTTCTTTAACCACAAACTTTAAGTTGTTCGCAAAATATTTTGGTTAATTTTTTCAATTGGTTGACAACACAAACAAATTGATTAACTCAATTAGGTAGGCTACCTATATGATTTGGAACCTATTGAAAGGTGTGGCTTCAAAGCATCTTAGGTCATAAACCTGTTTTAATTGCGCTTGAAAGCAGATAGTCAGCTAGTTTTGAAATGAGAGCTAGTCTGAGTTTAAACTATTTTCCAAAGGCTATTTTACTATTATTTATATTATTTAACAACAGCAAGTTTTGTAGTGGTACTTGTACATCCCCTGACATGGTGATTGAACAAATTGCCAATAGAGGGTTCAAAGTAACAGGGGACATCGTTGAAAGGGGATTCACGGATCAGGTGTTAAGTGCATATATGATCAAACAAAACCAGATTTCTCGTTACTGAACGAATCACTTGAAGACTTTGTAGGAGTAAAACACTGATATCCTCTGAACAACATTTTAATGCTAGGGAATCATGGTTGATGATAAGGGATTCTGGTGGTGTATGTGAATAAACTAAAGCAACAATCACAATCCTTTTACCAACACAACAAAAACTTGGTAGTATCTCTCGGAACAGGCATAACCGGAACAGAGTGTATGAACTGTCACATGTGTAAAGAGGTAGGCAAAGAGGTTATGTCAATACTTTTTTAAATACTTTTTCATTTAAATGGCGACCATACAAAGTTACCATTTTACCATTTTAAGCCAGTGTTAGTGACCATTTTAAGCCAAGTATGAATGTAGATGACTGTAGGATGAGTGGCACGACCTTGTAGTCTTGTTAGTGACTAAGGCCGACATATTCCTTAGACACATAGCTGTTAATTAATAGCCCATACAGCTAATGGCAACTAAGAGACATACAGTTTATAGTGGAATTCGAACCACATTTTTGCATTGGTATATATGAATTGGTCTAATTATCAGGATAGTACTGTGGATAGTCGTAGTACTCACTAGTGCGAACGTTATTCCACACCAGGGAGTGTCACGAGTAGTGGGTAGTACATCTTCCAATGCAAAAATTAAAGGGAGTGAGAATGTAGTCCACTTATTTCAGCTCTTCGGTCAAGGTGAACAACAAAGTAATTAGGCTTACTATTGATCCTTTGATTCTCTATGAAAGAGTTATCATTTGGAAGAAGCCAACAGACGATCTGATTTTTCATATGAACTTTCGGTACTTTCCTGTTAAAGGGAACATTCATTATCATCGATGATTTTTTCCCAATACATCGGATATTCTATTTTTTGATCCGATATACCGATATTAATGAACGAGATGTCAGCTGACAACTACGATAAGTAAATATTGTTCAGTATCAACAAACAATTTAAAAATATTATATTGAAATGAAACAGTTCTAAACTAACCTTACCTAGCCAACCAAACTTGCTGTAACATTTCCAAAACCCATTTCATATTAATTACTCACATGCCTTTTCTGTTATCAAACGAAATTTTGAAATGGTACAGCAAGTTTGGTTAGTTTAGAAACGTTTTACTTATTTCTGGATCCGCATAACTTAATATGCTATTTTTGCCTAAACAAGATCAGTTGTCAATTTGTAATTTAAATCTGTTTGAAGATATTAAAACAGAAGTTTTGGATCGTAAAGGAAAACACAAATATCGATATATCGAAAGAAATCAGATTGATAATAAGGAATGTTCCCTTTAACAGGAAAGTACCGAACTTTCTCCTTACCCAATGTCTTTGTTTACAAATTCTGGCATGATAAAGAACAGTAAATCAGTTTTGTGTGAAACCATCAGCCTTGTCAATGATCTAGATATGATTAAATCAGATACATTCATCATTACAGGTGGTTACTTGTTACATGCTGTAAAGTGGTGCAAAAACACCTGTCATATATATATAATGACGTTTGCAGCTTGTATCTTAAATTCCTGCAAAACCATTATCAATCAACAAACACATCAAGTACGGTTGTCTTTCAAGGTTATGCCGACCAGGACAGTACTTATGTATGGCCAAGACATGTGAGCCATCAGGTAAACACATTTTTTGTCCTTTGTTTCAAATACATTTTCATTTTCGTCTTCTTTTGGTCATTTTCATTTTTGTCTTCTTTCTTGTCATTTTCATTTTTGTCTCCTTTCTGGTCATTCTCATCGTTTAGACTGTCATCGTCTTCAATAATTGTTGTTTTCTCCTGTTCTTTGGCAACATGCTTGCTTTTGTACTCAACAAATTTCACATCTCTTGAGACTTTCATTTTCCTAGAGCGTTCATCCCATATCCTATATGCTTAGACCATATCCCACAAAAATAAATGATTCATTTCTGATATCCAACTTTCCTAAGTTAGGTCTGGTTATACGAGCATAAACTTTGCTGCCAAAAATTCTTAACCTTGATAGATCCGGTTTTTGGTCATACCATTTTTCACATGGTGTAGTGTCAACTGACTCACAAGGACTTCTGTTTACTATGTATGTGGCTGTTCTTATAGCTTCTCCCCATAGCTCTTTACTTACTCCTGAATCAAACAACAATGCTCTTGTTTTCTCTAAAAGAGTTCGGCTCATCCTCTCAGCTTTGCCGTTTAGCTGTGGCGAGTAAGGAACAGTGTAGTCTAAGTTAGACCACACTTTTCCTAGTCTAACAATATACCCTTAATTGGTTTTACACAAATCTTGGAGATCTTTCGAAATATATTCTCCACCATTGTCACATCGGTTCTTGTGAATTTTAAGTTCCAGCCTCTACTTCTGCAAAATATTGTTTTACTGCATCAAACACTTCATACTTGCCTTTTGAAAAGATAAACCATAAAGTTTGTGTTTGTGTAATATCATCAATAAATGTAATGAATTATCTTTTACCATCATGAGTAGGCCTACTTGGTTCTACTGGTCCACATACATGAATTGTTTCTAGAGGTCTTGTTGCTCTTGTTCTTTCAGTATTGAAAGGTAACCTTGTCTGTTTAGCCTTCAAACAGACTTCACAAGTCGTTCTTCTATCACAGGTCTTCAAACATTGGCCAGACAATTTTATACCTTCTGGATATAGAAACGAGTTTATTTAAACTTTCAAAACTAATACTGTATGTCCCATTCTTCTATGCTACAAAATTACACTATCATCCACTACCGGTTTACTTGTTTCTCTTTCTATTAACTGAGCATTTAAATTACTATTAATATCAAAAATCTTCACTGTGAACAATCCATTTGAATTTTTTATGCCTTTCCAACACTTTATCTCCAGTTTTTCTAAGTCCTATTATAACTTTATTTTCAGAGAAAGTAACCTCCCCACCATTATTAGTTATTGCAGAAACAGACAACAAGTTTTTACTGAGTTCAGGAACATATAGCACATTAATCAGGATACATTCTTTGGATTTTACAGTTCCGCTTGTTGAAGCTAACATGGTTTGATTTTTCTTAGCAACATGTATTTCAGAAGAAATATTTTGTTTATTACTTAACAAATCTTCACAATTTGTAATAGGCCTATGTGAAGATGTGCCTGAATCAACAACCCATTCCGATACAAAGTTTACAGTCCCACTATTACCCCGAACATTTTGTCCATCATCATACGACAAAAATGACATAGTGACAGTTGAGTTCTGGCTTTTTCTAAAGTAGGTAACAATCTTTTTCGTTATGATTTGACTTTTACATATATTACAAAATAAATTTGGCTTTACATTTCTTTTTTCAAACTTGTTAACAAATTTTTTACATTTCCACAGGTGTTTGCTAGATGACCAACAGCATTGCATTTAGCCTAAAACATCACCTTCATTATCAGAGTTAGCCCAATTGTGTGTAGGTTTCTTGCAGTATTTTGCTTTATGAAGCAATATAAGTAAATCTATCTAGCAGACTGACAAGAATTGTTGATATTATCATTTTGTCATCAATATCTTGTTTTAAAGTTTTAAGTCTGTGTGATATGTTTTCAATTGTACTTATGTGAGAACTTATATCAGAAATAGGCTCATACCTGAGGTTAAAGAATTCTTGTAATAACGAGTACTTCTGCTGCTCTGAGTCTCTTTCATAAATATTACACAGCTTCAAAAACATTTCTCTTGAGTTTTCACAGTTAATGATAGGTTTGTAACATCGGTCCCTTCTCAATAGAACTAACTATACACTTCTGAGCCTTGGCATCTCTTTTAATCCAATCAGCCTTCTTTTTTCCATCGCCCATATCTTCAAGTTTATCAGAACCATCAACAATACTCATCAAATCACTGGATTGAAATATTATTTTAATCTGAAATTTCCACAATGGAAAAGTTTCAACTCCTTTGAGTTTTTCTACAAAATCATCTTCTTTTACTGATGCCATTGTTAGTCTTACTTTTACTATTTCACTCACCTTCACTTCACTTTAACTCTTGGGGTTTTACTAGAAGATTACTTCTTGTTTTTACAGTTATGGTCGAATTAATGATTTTTTCTGGGCCCCATAACCTGTTGACTTAAGTGAAAGTAAATTACTAACACCTAAGTTTTTACTGTTACAATAATTATCTTTTATTTTACTGAAGTACACACACAACATTTTTACTCAAACATATCTTATTCTACCATTTTCATTACAACAAAAACAATCCTAACTATTTACACAATATGATCAGTTGTTACCAACATAAATTAAATACAGAACAAGTAACAGCAAACATATTATACAGGGTGAATTTTAAATGAGTTCCCCCCCTACTTTTTTCTACATTTCTTAAGATATCAACTTCGGACCACGTCAGATCATTGTAGTGTAGTAAGTACTTCATTTTGACTGGATAAACATTTTTGGCCGCCATCTTGGATCCGCCATATTGGATACAAAATTTGTTTTTCAAATGTAAAGGTAGGGTTGTGACCCATTGTTTCAAACTAGAATTTTACGCTGATTACAATGCCGCAATTAGTTTTAAAAAATCTTGATCCGTTCTAAAGTTATGAGGACTTTTTATAACTTTATTTTTAGCCCATTTTAACATTGTGCATTTACAAACTAAGACCATAATCTCAAAATAGTGCTAGATAAAGATAAGTATACACCACCATTTATTGTCGACCTATTATCACTTGGTTATGACGGTTGTATTTTTTTGGCCGCCATCTTGGATCTGCCATTTTGAAATGTGATAAATTAATTTAAATATGAAGGTGGTGTTGTGACCCATCATTTCAGACTACTTTTTTATGCTGAATTCAATGCCGCAATCCGTTTTTGTTTCTCAGGCTTTCTTGATGAAATATTAAAATTATCTTACTTAAATTTCCAATATTTCAAAAAACAAATATGAAAATGCAAAACGGATTGCAGCATTAAATTCAGCATAAAAAAGTAGTCTGAAATGATGGGTCACAACACCACCTTCATATTTAAATTAATTTATCACATTTCAAAATGGCAGATCCAAGATGGCGGCCAAAAAAATACAACCGTCATAACCAAGTGATAATAGGTCGACAATAAATGGTGGTGTATACTTATCTTTATGTAGCACTATTTTGAGATTATGGTCTTAGTTTGTAAATGCACAATGTTAAAATGGGCTAAAAATAAAGTTATAAAAAGTCCTCATAACTTTAGAACGGATCAAGATTTTTTTAAACTAATTGCGGCATTGTAATCAGCGTAAAATTCTAGTTTGAAACAATGAGTCACAACCCTACCTTAACATTTGACAAAACAATTTTTTATCCAATATGGCGGATCCAAGATGGCGGCCAAAAATGTTTATCCAGTCAAAATGAAGTACTTACTACACTACAATGATCTGACGTGGTCCGAAGTTGATATCTTAAGAAATGTAGAAAAAAGTAGGGGGGGAACTCATTTAAAATTCACCCTGTATAAAAATAAAATTACATTCAACAAACATTTCATGTAATAACCTATGTTATTATATACCGGCACAGCTTAATCTATCTTTTTATGATTTTCTCTTGCTCCTTGTGGTCCTTCCCCCTTATGTAGTGAAGAATTTACAGTTATTTTCAATAACCCTCTTTCATGTAGAGCATTGAGGTACCTAATTTTATTAATTTATGAATAAATGTTTAAAGATCGTAAAAAAAGTAGTAATTATGGTTGAACACCCTGTATGGAGTGGTTTAATACACTAAAAAATATAATAACTAAAACCACCGAAAACCACACTACACCTCCGAACAAAAAGCATTTTGTGCATAGCCGATCGGTAGGCGGATGTATCCACCGATCATTACGACAGTTATTGTTATAGTTGTTGTCTATAACAACATTAATCTACGTAAAAACGTTCTTTTATTCTATTAGATCTTTAAGAACTAAGAATGTTTTTCAAAAAGAAAAAAAAATTAATAAAACTATAACTTTTTATGAAAAAATAATAACAAAAGTAAAAAAATATGTTGGACAAAGTACTGCATATTGGTCAACTATTTACAACATTCTATACATTATAGATAGGCCTATAAAAATATTTTTCAGTTTTTAGCGAATTTCCCTATAGGGAAGTAGCTATTACCGTAGGTGGCACGGTAAGACCTAGACCCGGGACCAATTTACTTTTTCATTTTGATGTCCCCAGAGGCCAAAAACACTATTCGTTCAAATTTTTATATATGTATATATATATATATATATATATATATATAGACTTATATATATATATATATATATATATATACGTCCGTGAACGCGATAACTTGAGTAATTTTTGTCCGATTTTGATGAAATTTGGTTTAAAGGTGTAAAGCGGGATAAACTTGAATGAGTTCGCGAACCAGCACGATCGGACCATGGGAACGGGGCTTTACGGGGGGTTTTATGGGGTAAAAATTGGTTTTTCTCACTTTTGACCCTCAAAACACAAAATTTCCCAATTTCTCTTTAGACCTTTTTAAAGAGCTTAAAAAAACAAATAATTTAGTATATAAAAGTATTTTTGTTCGATTATTAGTAACGGAGAAAATTAAAAAAATTGTAAATTTAAAATTCCCATGTTATTCTTATGGAGAATATTGTCAAATGTTGTAGTATGCTTGTTTATGAATATATTTTGATCAAACTTGGCAAATTTATTTATTTTGTACTAAGCTATCAATATTTTACTCAAAAACATACTTTATTAGTTTCCTTGTAGCAGCAAACCTAGGTACTCGTTAAACCTAATGTTATTCAAATATATTTAACTGAAAATCAATTCAGACAAATGGAAATTCGCTTAGTCGGCAGGTTTGCTGCGGCGGGGGTATTATTTGAATAAAATAGTTTTACACTGTCTCTAGGGGTTAACTCACAGGTGAAATTTCATGAATGTACAAATTTTGTTCTTTATATGGGGTGTTTTTGTGTTACTGTATTTTACCTGTACAGGATATAACAAATTTAAAGTAATTCTATACCATAGTAAATATTTTGTAGCTAAGTGGTTATAGTGATTGCCTAGCAAGCAATTGGTTGCCGGATTTATCCTGTGAAAAGCTAAAGCTATAGTAGCTTTTTGATCTTTTGAAACTGGACCCAGCTGCCCCTGATCATGTGCTTTAAGTAAATACTCCTGGCTTATGAAAGCTACAAAGATCATCTCACAACATTCATGTAGAGTCAAGATTTTTCAATTGCAAATTTTAAAGCAGTTGAAAGACTTTTGCACAAAAATGATGATAAATAAACAGAGCAATTAACAGCTGTGAACACGTATACCAGTTCTACAGTTGACTAATAGGTTTCGATGTGGCTAAGTCTTCAGCTAGACTGAAAATGGTGTCATTGATTGGCATTATTATTATTATTTTGGGTGTTTTCATTCTTGTGAGTAAAGTTAATTGTTTTATTGATACTATTAAGCATTAAAAATACATTATGATAAATAAAAATAATAGAATTTTGACAACCTTACTTATCATAATATGAGCAGTACATGTTTTGTCAAAATTTAAATTGCAGTCGTTAGAGCGATAGTTATTTGAACTGCAGTGGCTATTTAGAAAACCTACTTTTGGCGATTTTCTATAAAAGTTTAGAGTAATGTTCCTTTTCTAAATTGTTCATATTGGCTGTAAAAAACAGTACTGAAAAATTACAGTAACAAGTGGAAATCATCCTCCTGAAATATACGTAGTTTAATGTATATAGGAGGGTTTCAACATAGCGCTATAGTAAGCCACTGATAAAAAAAAATTACATATTAATGATTTATTAAAATACGCGGGCTGTCTGTAATTTAAGGTCTCCATCGAGATCCCAAAAAAGTAGGGTTGCCATGGTACTGTTAAAAAAAATGATTTATAAATAAAAATACTTTTTAAAAATACCACGTTTTTAAACACATTAAAAAGTAGAAAATAATTTATAAATATGTTGAGAGAATAAATACTTGTAAGATTAGAAACAAAAAACGTCGGGCGCATGCTAATTTACAATTAACTTCACATTTTGAAATATTAAGATCTATTGCATGCGCCCCACGTTTTTCGTTTTTTTAAATCTTACAAGTATTTAATCTCTCAACATATTTATAAATTATTTTCTACTTTTTAGTGTGTTTAAAAAGGTTGCATTTTTAAAAAGTATTTTTATTTATAAATCATTTTCTAATTTTTAGTCTTTAATGTGTAAATATGTCAAATCTATTTTATATGGCCTGTTAGACATAACCAAAACCTTATTATCTGTAATCAGATGTTTTATCTTTACTTTGGAATGCTTGTTTTATATTTTTAGGACGGTGGGGCACACGGAAGATTTCTCAGGTGCCGTTTGACGTCACTAACTGCTGCGTCTGAAGAAACAGACAATAATTTTTCTATTATTAAATTAAACTGTCATAACCTAACCAAACTAACCAATCGTGCTGATAATGAAAAAATCGAATGAAGGTTTACTAATCTAAAAAATAGTTTTGTTCATAAAATAAAATTATAAATGCCTAAAATTCAACTTTATAATTTTTTAATTTCATTTGATTTAATTTTTAATTATAAAATTAAACTGTCATAACCTAACCAAACCAACCAAACTTGCTGATATGAAAAAAATGTTGAAAAAAGTTAATGTACCAGCGGGATTCGAACCCGGTTCAATCGGATTATCGGCCCGACACGCTAGCCACTACACCACAGAGGCCGATGGCTCGATACCGTATCGTTGCGGTAATAGTGTTCCCTCGACTGACGTCAGCAGTTAGTGACGTCAAACGGCACCTGAGAAATCTTCCGTGTGCCGTTTCGTTTTTAGGATATCTCGGGAGCAGAACCTGTACCTCTTAACCTCTGCTTTTCGAACTGTCAAATTTAAGTGTTTACAGCTGACTTAATAATTATTAAATTAATTAGATATATTTACATTCTTTCAAAATGTAAACATGGAAAATTTGGAAGTCCGTAGGGCTTAGCCCAAGGCAAATATGAAAATTAAATGATATAATGTTGCATTGTCATCCATTTGTGAGCTATGTTTCAAGTTTAAAGTCTCTAGCTCATCAGGAACTTCATTTAAAATTGGTACAAAAATTTGTAAGAAAGCGAGCTAGTAAAAACAAGCCCATGGGGCGTAGCCCAAAGGAAATATGAAAATTAAATGATATAATATTGTATTGTCATCCATTTGTGAGCTATTTTTCAAGTTTCAAGTCTCTAGCTCATCGGGAAGTTAATATAAAATTGATTGCAAAATTTGTACCGGACAAGAAAGCGAGCTAATAAAACCGTTTTAAAAAGAAGAGATTTTAACTGGGCAACCTCCAATAGTGGATAAAAAATAACAGGCTGGCAAAATTTTCTTTATGCTATTCAATATTTAAATATCGTACGTAAAAGCATCCCACAAAAGAAACGAATAACAGATTTACGTAAACAAAACTTTCTTTGTCTTCTAGATTTAGTTTGGCTTCGCTAGTGACCACTGGATACCTTCAGGTTGGCCGACAGGTGCAAATTGAAGGACTGGAAACAGTGAAACACACAAACTCAGGACGTTGCTAGCCAAAGTGAAACCAAGAAATAAAAAAAGCATTGGCATAGAGTACAAAAGATTGCATTTTTCCATTACATAACAATCCTTACGAACGGAAAAATTATATTTTATAAAAAAAAATGCCGTTATTTAGTGTAATTTAGTCAATGGTAAAAAATATGGGATTTCTCACTTTTTGTGGAAATCCCCTTGGAGCTAAATTTTGAACCTCAAAATCTGGTAATTGGGTAATCTCTGGGGGAAGTTGGGGAAACCTTGGTTTTTGATTGGCGAGTTTAAGACTACATTCTTACCGTAGTCCTTGCTAGTATTAGAAACATCCTCTATGAGTTTGAAAATCTCTCATTCAGTCTTGAAGTGATCCTCATGCAAATTCCCCTAACCTTCATCACTGCTTCAAACAAGGCTGATGAATGACTGCAGCTGGCCAACACCATGCAAAATGGTCCTGACCACCTCAGATTTTCCTCCACCTCTTACATATATTTTCTATAAAAGGTATAAAACTAGTAGTACACTTATTCTGCGCGTAACAGGATGAGTGAACATGAGCGCAATAATGAAAGAGTTTACCCACACCTAGCACACTTACCGGTGTCACTGGTGTACACAATAATGTTATTTGTATGGGCAAATCAACCCATGAGTCGGGGCAAATAATGGTGAGTCGGTGACTCAAGTCGGTAGCGTCACGCGAACTTCGGGCCCAAGGCAGCGATGTCGTGAGTTCGGATCCTGGTCACTGCCACTAAATTTTATCAGTACAGTTCACCTTTGTACTGTACCGGCTCACCAATTGCTTTGCTGTAAACGATCCACGCACGGGCGAGGTTAAAAGAGGCTGGACCAACCTCTTAAAAAAAACCAAACCTCAGTCAACAACAATCCTAACTTCTCGTCCATTAATTAACCAAAGTCATTGGTAATATACGTAACGTATTTCCTGTTTCCCTCTCTTCTCATAGCATTTTATTAATGCAGATACGTTAATCTAACTGTCACAAAGAGTTCCCACACTCTGGACTGTTCACCTTGACTACTTCCTTTACCACTTCCTACGTCGTGGACCTGTTTCCCTCCTTTCCTATAGCATGTATGTGCAGCATGTGTGTGCTTCCTATAGCATTTTAGAATTGCAGTTACACTAATCTAACTGTCACAAAGGGTTTCTACACTTCAGAATGCTCGCCTCGACTACTTCCATTACCACTTCCTACGTCGTGGACCTGTTTCCCTCCTTTCCTATATTATTTTAATATTGCAGTTACATTAATCTAACTGTCACAAAGAGTTCCCACACTCCGAACTGCTCGCCTTGACTACTTCCATCACCGCTTCCTACGTCGTAAACCGGTTTCCCTCCCTTCCCATAGCATTTTAGAATTGCAGTTACACTAATCTAACTGTCACAAAGGGTTTCTACACTCCAGAATGCTCGCCTCGACTACTTCCATTACCACTTCTTACGTCGTGGACCTGTTTCCCTCCCTTCCTATAGCATTTTAGTATTGCAGGTATATAAATCTAACTGTCACAAAGGGTTTCTACACTCCGGACTGCTCGCCTTGACTACTTCCATCACCGCTTCCTACGTCGTGGACCTGTTTCCTTCCCTTCCTATAGCATTTTACATTTTAGTATTGCAGGTATATTAATCTAACTGCCACAAAGGGTTTCTACACTCCGGAATGCTCGCCTTGACTACTTCCTTCACTACTTCCTAAGTGTCGTGAAAGTGTTTCCCTCCCTTCCCATAGCATTTTTAGAATTGCAGATACATTATTCTAATTGTCACAAAGGCTTCCGACACTCCGGACTGCTCATATTGACTACTTCCTTCACCACTTCCTACGTCGTGGACCTCTTTCCCTCCCTTCCTATAGCATTTTAGTATTGCAGGTATATTAATATAACTGTCACAAAGGGATTCTACACTCCAGACTGCTCGCCTTGACTACTTCCATCACCGCTTCCGACGTCGTGGACCTGTTTCCTTCCCTTCTTATTGGAATTTAGAATTGCAGTTATATTAATCTAACTGCCACAAAGGGTTTCTACACTCCAGACTGCTCGCCTTGACTACTTCCATCACTGCTTCTTACGTCGTGGACCTGTTTCCCTCCCTTCCTATAGCATTTTATTATGGCAGATACATTAATCTAACTGCCACAAAGGGTTCCCACACTCCGGAATGCTCGCCTTGACTACTTCCTTAACCACTTCCTAAGTGTCGTGAACCTGTTTCCCTCCCTTCCCATAGCATTTTTAGAATTGCAGAAACATTATTCTTATTGTCACAAAGGCTTCCCACACTCCGGACTGGTCACTTTGACTACTTCCTTCACCACTTCCTACATCGTGGACCTGTTTCTCTCCCTTCCCATAGCATTTTTAGAATTGCAGATACATTATTCTAACTGTCATAAAGGCCCCCCACACTCCGCAGCGCTCGCCTTGACTACTTCCTTCACTATTTCCTTCACTACTTCCTACATCGTAGACCTGTTTCCCTATCTTTCCATAGCATTTAAGTATTACAGATATGTTAATTTAACAGTCATAAAGGGTTTCCGTACTCCTTTCTTTTCACTGCTCACCTTTCCGCTTTCTTTACTACTCTCTACGTCGGGGACCTGCCCCCCCCCTTCGCATAGCATTTTAGTATAAAAATATACCAACTTTTTTGAATATTTAATATTCAATGCCAACATTAAATTGAATAATGTAAAAAGCTGCTTTGTTCTAAATACATAAATACCTATATACTTTTAATTAAAAGGCAAAATTTTAATACTGAACATAAACGGTATATAACTGCCGACTAATATTGTTAAGTTCAATTCATTATTATGAAAGTTGTGAGATTTAATTAGCTGTATTCTGAAAGCTGTGAAATTATAATGACTAGTGTACATGTTGCTCGAATTCGAGCAATTGCAAAGTATTACAGGAGTTATTTAAAAACAAATAACAGTCATATTTACAATGAGTTTAAAAGAGTCAACTCAAAGATTACCGGTGTGTAACTCAGACCATGTTTATCTTCGTTATTGATAAACCTAAAGCATTCCAGCCGGTTTTCTCCTTCTCAAAATGCCTCGCTATACATGCAACACAGGTCATTGATAGAGGGCCAATTGAGAACGAAAAGTCGTTTTGGGGTAGTGTTAGGGCGCATTTGTAACCTAAAGTTAAGATTGTCCTGGGTCAGGTGCTTACTGTGATGAGTTAAGCCTATTACGCGCCACTGTTGTTCTGTAGCTGCGGTCGTTATCAATCCTCCTGTCTATGTTTCGTTGTAGTCACGTCGGAGGCATTTAAAAGAAAAAAACAACAAATAAACAAATTATAGCTACACAAAACAACGATAAACGCACAAATTTAACTTACAATCATGCTAACATGATCCGTCGTAGCGACACAAAACAACGATAAATACACAAATTTAAGATACAACCATACTAACACGATCCGTCTTGGGGTTATGTTTACACAAACTCAAATAGTAAATAAATTTACTCAATGTGTTTCATTGAATTGAAAAATAAATAACAGCAATTAAATTATACAGCTGATCAAAATGTAAACAATTATGTTCTTCATAAGGATAACATAGGAACTTTCAAAGCCACTGGGGCAGAGCCCAAGGGACGCTTTCACAAATGTAAGGCCAGTTTGCAAATCTACGCGACGCGCTCTTTCCAATGAGACGTCAATGGATAAAATCGGTTAAGAAATGGCGGAGGAGTTCAACCGACAAAGTTTCGTGTAGCGTATTAATTATAAAGATATATATTCATAGACGCCAAACTGTTTACTCCATGAATGAAAGAGCTTAGAGTAAATGTCGTTCTCTCTGTCTTAAGTAGACAACAAAATTGTTGGTCGCAAAACGTAAACAAATAAAAAGAAGAAGAAGGTAGCTCCTAATGTTATTCTTATGGGACAAATTTAAAAATGTTTTTTAAGTATTTTATAATTACTACTGAGCGGAATCGTCTAGAATTTTAATGGTGTCTTTACACTGGTGTCATAACTATCTGTGCAAAATATGAACGCTATAAGTGCAACGGTTCTTGAGTTTTAGGTGCGAACACACACACACACACACACACATACTCCAGCGGACAACTTTTCTCCGACTCCGCTATACACGATACATAGATTCGTTCACTTCGTTCACTCATCTATTACCTGAGTACTGCCAAAGTGATCCTGTATGATCTTTATGGATTATACGTTTCGAGGGCTTAAATACTCAAAACACATAGTCCATAAAGATCATACAGGATCATCCTGGCACTACTCGGGTAATTTTATACCTTTTATAGTTTGATCCAGTGACAAAACACATTCAAATATGATATATTTGCAACACCCAAACATTTTAATCTAATCATGTCTATCAACTGACAATGGAGCACACCGCAGAAATCGAATCAAAATCATTTTTGGCTACTATGACAATACCAGTACTAATAGTCACATGGTGCTATAATTGTAGCGAATGATGTGAGTAAAGGTTACAGCACTGGTTTCAGGTATGAACCAACCCCTTTGTCCAAAACAGAAGCTCCTACAAGACCTGTATTTTATGGACAGCCCTCAAGCCAAAAATCTTTTACAACTCAATTTGTTCATGACAAATATATGAGGTTAATGTAGGTCTTATGATTGTCGATTTGTTCAGGTATCCGGATCACCTACTTCACACCATAGCGGGTACGTCTTGATGCCGATTCAGGTAGCGGACAAGATCCTGGACAAAGATATTGGTAAATACCTCTCCTTCATACCAGCTTTACTAGACATATGATTGGATCAGTTTATATGTTACTAGCAGAGTACCCGTCCTTCGTACGGGGTTAGCATATAAGTAAAAAAATATGTATTACAGTTATGGGAGAGGACACGGTTTAAGAAAATTTTGTCTTTTAATTTATAAGGTATCCTATAGCGAAGCACAAATCTACCATAGCCCTAATGTTCTACCACTGCACCTAAACCATAGAAAAAAGTAAAGTTCTCATTGTGTACCGGTACCACAACTTTTTGGCCCGACAGACGTCGTCCTGTCCTAATGTAATTTTAAGTCAAATGCTCGTTCATTTTCAAGAAGTGCTCGTTCGCATTGCTCAATCACGTCCTGGTTGAAGTTCGTTTGCTACGCTTACTCACCTTTAGGTTGGAGCTCGTTCGCTGCGCTCACTTGCCTTCAGGTTTAGCTCGTTCACTACGCTATCGCCTCCGGGTTCAAGTTCGTTTGCTACGCTCACTCAGCTTTTGGTTGCAAGTTAGCTGTTTTCATAAATTAAAAAAAACAATAGTGCTGCACCCTGTTGGTAAACCTATTAACTTTTTAATGCTATTGAACATCATAGAATCAAATTGTTTAGTTAAACCAGCTGTTAAGATTTTTTAATTCCACTTAAATATAAGTAGGTGCTCATAAGTTTAAAAATTTTTTTTTTAACAAGTATTTATTTACAATCTAACTTATTCTATACTAGAACAATAAGTAAATTTAATAACCATTTTAACATGGGTTAGTTACACTCCATTAAGTGCACTAACATACAAAAACTTTTAAAAAGTTTAACTAAAAACGATTTGGAAGGTCTATTGAATTAACTCTTTTGAGCCTATTTGTAGCTTCACTATTGTCGAGGAGGTTAACTGCCAGGAAATTTGGATGGATTTCTTTGGTATTTTTCACTTCGTTTTTTTATTTCTTCTTTAACATAGGTAATTTTGTATCTTGATGAATTACTTTATTTGTGACAAACCAAGGTGCTTGTAAAATTTTTTTCAGTGTTTTTCGATTGAAACCTTTGAACTATTTCTACGTTTGAGTTGGAAGTGGTTCCCCAGAGTTGGATACCGTAGGTCCAAATAGGTTTTAATATAATCTATAAGTATAAAAGAGGATGTTTTGTAACGCTCTGAAATTCAGTAACGCCTACATACAGACTAGCGGACTGATCACCCGCTAAATATTTCATCTCAGTCTTTAAGCGCGCATCGACTGCCTGACCGCATTCTGAATTTCATTTCGTCACTGTAAAATATTTTATATAGTACGCCTCTACCACTTCATACTCTTCGCTCCAACGGTTGCTACATCCCATCTTCACTCAATCGATAAAGTTGTAGACCTCTGATTGGTGGTTGGACTCAATAATGAAACTCGATGGATTTGTGGACTGAAACCGACGCTTCCTCCCTCTTCTCCTCTAGCCATGATTTTGTGACGAAGACAAAAAAATGAGAAGTTGGTTTTTTTTGTAATTCAAGATGTTTTCAACTAAAGTGTCAACTAAATTTACTTAAATCAAATCACCCTCGAGGGATATGTACGGGGAATGCTGGCTCGGGAGATGTCCGTACCTGCTGGATGAGACATGCTCACCGTCCGATGACTAGGCCTACCTACTAAGCCTACTAGTCAAACCAAAATGGAATTCTGTTCGTCTCGTCATTTACAGTTTTGTGAAGGACCTGATACGCCTTACCGCTAAGTAGACAATCAATAAGTTACCTATCATAAATCATTATTCTGTATTTCTCTTTCTTCGGACAATTTGATCCCTTAACGATAACTGATATTTTAACTTGTATTTCTTTTCTTTCTGTTTAATTGTGATATTTGTTTTAATTTATGCGTAGACATGTTAGGCCTAGGTCTCTAGTTGAATTCATGTTTTATTTTTTTATGAAACCGTAAGTTACCTAATTTATATTTTAGAGTTATTCGACTCAAGTTAAGGTGGCCACCAATATTAAGTTTTTTTTAAATCATCATTGTTGAGCGTTGAGTTATTGTTTCCTATCATACTGTTATAATAGGTTTGACAATCATTAAATTTTGTTTTAAGATCTGCAGATGTGTAATCCTCTTAAATTTCACTTTTCTTATTAAACTATTGTAACTTAAATTTAATTGTTGTGTTTTCACTATATTAATATTTCCTACTGTGTTTAAAAACAACTTTAGACGCTTCCTTACAAATTAATCTTGCTCCTCACGCTCATGCAATTACTATTAGCCATATTAACACATTAAATTGTCTAGGCCTAAGTAAATGAGTAAGTGGGTCTGAATGATAAGTTAAGTGGTCCTCGAGGGTAAACCTTTTAATCTCAACCCTGTACTGCCATTGGACTTCCTTGTTGGCCGGTGGACGTTCTGCAGTAAACAAGGTGGCGCCTTCCCGAAGAGGATCCCTTATGTCATTGTGACTCTTTAAAAGTTTTGAGTACCAAACCCCCCCCTTCTCTGAGTTTACCTGGGCTTAGTTCAATTAACCTATAACTATTAAAAAAAAAAAAAAAAAAGGTTACAAATGGCGCCCGTAACGTGGGGCCGGAAAGTAATTACAGTATCGTTTGTTGAAACTCTTCTTCGGCTGGATTATTAGAAAGGAAGATAGGCCTACTTATCCCAAATATTGGTGGTCTCTGTACTCATTTTGTGGATAGCCTATTGTGATATTGTTTATTAAGATTTTTTGTGTGTTAACTCCATAAACATGAATTCCTACAGACTTAGAAAAGATGAAATTGTTTATGAATTATCGATTAGAGGAGTATCTACGGCTGGAGATACTAATGATTTGCGGAAACGCTTGACTCAGTGTTTTTCCAACAAAACTGCAATAGATAATGCTGTAGTCAATGGACTAGATGAACTGAAAGAACTGGAAACATGTGAAGAGAAACTTTCGGACCTGGCTTTCTTGATTGAAGCCTATGATGGTGACTATAAAGATAGCGAGGCATTGAGACTGACTGCCCGTCTTTGGCATTTGTTTTATAGAGTTGAGAGGATCCCGATTGCGCCTTCTTCGGACCTCAGTCCCACGCAACGACAGCAAGAACTATTGGATAAAACTAAAGAATTTATTGATCTTTTCCAAGGCACTGGGTGTGAGAAGAAAGAAGATCCTTTAAAGAGTGTTAATCCTCCTGAAACCAACCATGGACTAGGCAATAATATTCAAGAGATTTCTACACCGGTTAGGTCTACGGATGTAAGTTTCTCAGAGATAAGCAAACAAACCCCACTTGTTGATGACCTTCATACCTTGCATGATCAGATGCAGGAAATCACCTTGAATCCCTCGAGGGCGATTAAAGAAACACCATCCAAACATCAAGGATACGGTCCCAAGTCTGTACCAGTCTACAAGTGGAACCTGAAATTTAATAATGACGGAGCTGTGAGCATCGGAGCATTCTTAGTACGAGTCGAGGAGCTGAGAAGAGCAAGGGGAGTTTCCGAACAAGAACTTTTTGAATCTGCAGTGGACTTATTCGCAGGACAAGCACTTATATGGTACCGTTCAGCCCATCAACGTGTTTCTTCATGGAAAGAATTGTGCAAGGAATTAAAATCTGTATTCCAGAATCCGGATTACGATGATTGGCTACTGCAAGAAATTAAAGAAAGGACACAGGGAGAAGAAGAAGCTATCGATCTATACTTGGCAGCCATGGAAGGTCTATACAGTCGACTTAATGAAGGCGTAACCGAAAAAGAGAAACTAAAACAAGTTTTGAAAAATCTCAACGGTTTCTTACAGAGCAAATTATGTCTAGTCAAGATAACTTCAATGGAAGATCTGCGTTATTTTGGTCGTCAGGCAGAAGCAGGACGTATGAGGGCTATGAGGCAGCGACCTCCTCCAAAATCAAGTCAAGTTTTAGAACCAGATTTAGCATATTCAGTTCCACCATACAGGTCCAATGGTGTTCGAAAACCTTTTTCCAACCCCGGAAGGATCTCTACCATTTCAGACAGTAACCGGAACAGACCTAACAACAACCGCAGTGAGTTAAATAGTCAAAGACCACAAAGGTTGGATGATTCAACTATGTTGTGTTGGAATTGTCAAAAGACAGGGCATAGGTTCACTAACTGCAATCTCCCGCGCAAGAAGTTTTGCTACACCTGTGGAACACATGGAGTCAGTAAAGTAAATTGTAATAAGTGCCGACCAAAAAACGTATAAGCTCGGGGCCCGCTACTGAAATTTTGGTGGACCCCTTAAAGAACTGTCAAAGTAGGAATTCAGACCTTGTTAATAGACCCACCTTTACCATTGAATCTACTAATGTCCCTTGTACCTGGAAACCAAATTTAAGCTCTGACTGTGATATATTTAGTAATTTTAATAGTAATGTGTCTTGTGGAAAAATTATGTATGTGTTGGATTCTTGTGATTTTGACCCTAGGCCTTATGTTACTGTAAATATTAATGGAGTTGTTATCAAAGGTTTGTTGGATTCTGGAGCCTCCCAAACCGTATTAGGCCACCAAGGCTTATTTGTTCTTAAAGAGTTGGAACAACATCTTAGTCCTACACCTGGTCGTTTTGTAGAAACTGCGGACGCTAAACGGCACATGGTTAAAGGAACTATCCAGTTACCTGTTACTTTAGAGGACCGCACTCGGCTCATTACTGTCATGGTGGTTCCAACTCTGCCGCAAACACTCATCTTGGGTATTGACTTCTGGACTAGTATGCAAATTATTACAGATATGTCTCAAAGAACATGGGAGTTTGGTGTTAATGTTGATTCTATTTATGAACTTAGCGGAACTTCTGGTATTTGTGCTGCGGAACACCTGGACCAAGACCAACAACAACGATTGGAAAATTTACTGAAGACTTGTTTAGGCAAGGAAACTTCTACATTGGGTCGCACCAATTTAGTCGAACACGAAATTGATACTGGCACTGCCAAGCCGATAAAACAACGGTATTACAACATG